CTTCATTTCAGAGGAAGTCCAATGATGGTCCAACGAAGTCTGGAGGACTTCCAGAGGCTGGCTACTCTGGTGGAGAGTGCTAGAGGACTTCCGGAGGAGTGTGGGAAATGTCCGGAGGAGCGTGGGAGAGTTCTGGAGGAATGCAGGAAGTGCTCCAGAGAGTTCCCACTGCAAGGTAGTACTTCTACAGGAAACAGGATGGAAGGGTAGGATGTCCAGAGGACAGGACATGGAGGTATGGAGGATGGAACGTCCAAAGATACGGAGGGCAGAACGTCCAAAGATACAGAGGGCAGAACGTCCAAAGGACAGGATGCCCAGAGGTATGAGGAACAGGAGGTCCAGAGGTCCAGAAGGAATAGGGGCTACATCAGACGAAGTCCAATGCAGAAGCAAACAGAGGTAGACTACCCTAAGGTAGAGTCGGAGGGACAGGAAGTGGACCTAAGTCCAGAAAGAGGGTAAGTGCCAGAAAGGCAAGACTCTAGCCTAGGGAAGCAATCCCTAGACTTGGGACAGAGACATAGGGGACAAATCTGAAGGTCTGGAATTCTGGCCTAGGGAATCCATCCCTAGGCCTTTATGGAAAAGGACAAGACTCAGATGGACTGAAGTCTGGAAGAAGATTGGGCAAGTAGAACAGGATCTAAGATGAGAGAGCAGGAACTAAGATAATATTCAGACTGAGGACTCTACTGTAGTTGTACAGGGGTTATATACTAGAGGCTATCCAAGAGGATAAGTAAGCAAAGGAGTAAGGCTATGTATGAGCATGTGGAAACACATTGGTAAGTAAGACAGAACATAAGTAAATGAACTCAGAGATGAAACTAGTACAAGGATCAATCAGCAAGACAGAAACAGAGATAACTGAGAACCAGAAAGGGGGAGATGCCTAAATGGGGATAGGTGCAGGATCTTGGATGGAGGGTAGGAATAGGTCTGGAGATAGTACAGTTAATATCCAGAGATCTGGGGATCCAGTGTCTTAATAACCAAGGGTCTTATATAAATGCATGTAAAATGTAATGACACCACAATTACACTAGGATAAGACTTCTTGCCAGTCCTTGATTAACACATGTCTACGACTTTTCTTCTTTCATGGTAGATAACGTGTGAGTTCTTGGGAGGCTCACTAAACCAATCTATGTGATTAACTTAGCCAGAGCTTTTGTGTTATATCCCAACTTATAAACTTGTCTAGGATAAACCATCTAGACACTGGAACGTGGTTCCTTGTTAAGATAATCCTCTGTAGAGACTACAGTCTCAAATATGAATACATTGACCAAAGACTGGTTGGTCAAATAGGCACAAAGTGGTGGGAAACTGGTCTCACAAATGAACAGATTGACCAAAGCTCATGTTGGTCAATATCAGGAAACTAGGTGAGAAGCAGGTCTCACAAATGAACAGATTGACCAAAGCTCATGTTGGTCAATATCAGGAAACTAGGTGAGAAGCAGGTCTCACAAATGAACAGATTGACCAAAGCTCATGTTGGTCAATATCAGGAAACTAGGTGAGAAGCAGGTCTCACAAATGAACAGATTGACCAAAGCTTGTGTTGGTCAATATTAGAAAACTAGGTGAGAAGCTGGTCTCACAAACAAACAGATTGACCAAAGCTTGTGTTGGTCAATATCAGAAAAACCAGGTGAGAAGCTGGTCTCAAATAAACTAAGTTTCTATTGTAAGAAACTTATGTAATCTCAAGGGAATGTCTTTTCCCTGCACTTGGTACTTCAAAGGGGCTTTCTTTGTAAGCAACAATCTTCACAGTGAGTAGCTCAAACTGAGATTCAAATGATTGCAAGTGGAAGATCCTATTTTTTGGGGGGAGAATGGGCCCTCCTTATATACATTTTGTGTGGGAATATTATGTAAGTAAAAAAGCGGAGCAATGACATCAGAAGTGGAGCAGAACATTCCAGAATATTCCATAGGTGGAGTAATGACATCAGAGGTGAGTCATTGTGGAGCAGAACATTCCAGAACAAATGACATCATCATGACATCATAACTTTCAACAGAATACTTGCAGGAGTATCTGTGGAGCCATATGACATCATACCCTGTAGGTACAATTTTGTGAAGTATCTGATGGGTCAGAGCATCCAAATAGAAAAATAAATCAAGGAAATACTAGAGAAAACAACTCAGAAATAATAATACAATAACAAGACACAAAACACAGGCTTTTTAGATAGGTTTTTGTTAGGCTTTGAACTTTTCTCTATGGTTTTCTCTAGCCAAATTGAATAAGCCAAAGGCAAGGCAATACCTTAACCTTCTTGTTTCACAATATCAACTAGGTCATTATGTGATTCCCATCTCACAAATGACTTTTCTTCAAGATATAATAAATTCATGAATCACAGAGGGGAAACTGAACTATATGACCAAGGTTTGAAACCAAGGTATGGGTTGACTAGCCTGATGCCTAAGCTAACAGACTTTGTCTTTTAGGGGGGCTACCTAGTAGTCATGTCCATGCATGATTCCCAAATCATGCAGGACACCGGAAGGCAGGGTGGAAACAGGACTGAGATATGTGAGGTAGTGGATGTAGTCTGGAATCTGAGAGGAGGTAAAGTCTGGATGTCTTGCTGGACAGAATGTGCATAGGGTGGACAGGATAGGGGATCCAGGAATGAGTCGGATATGGGGTCCAGAAATAGGTCTGGAAAGCGTGGGAATATGATGGGATCTATATCTGGCATATGGGATATGACAGCATCTTGGGGTAGGAAATGGAGGTAGGGTGGAGTGGCTGGAAAAAATTGGTGCTCTCTTGGATGCCCCTGTGCAGACTACTCAGTCCAAGGGCTCCACCTCCCTTGACTTACAGTGGCTCAAAAAACTATCCGCATGTTTTGACATTTTTCAGTATCTATGATATTGTGTGAGAACAAACAAATGGCTCAAGGACATGCTTATACCACATTGTAGTATGGCTTCAGGGCTTTCATTTAAGCCCTACACCGTGGGAATCGGTGGAGATATGGTAGAGATACAAGGCTCACAAAATGGTGACTCATGTGGACAGTTTTTTGACTCAAGTATTTTACAATAATAACCAGGTATTCTAGTATTTTGTATGACCTCCCTTGGCTTTAATTACTGCCTCTATCCTTCTAGGCATACTCTCAATTAATTTCTGGCAATCCTCAGCTGTGATCTTCCCCCATTCCACTGCTACTCTCTCCCAAAGCTCCCATACTCTTTTAGGGGGGTTTTCATAGGCTTGAAGCTTTTCCTTGAGTGTTCCCCAGAGATGTTCAATGACATTGACATTAGGAGACTGTGCTGGCCAGTCAAGAACATTGATGCTATGTTCTTCAAACCATTCCTTAGCTCTTCTGGATGTGTGCTTGGGATTATTATCCTGTTGGAAAATGATATCTTCTTCATCAATCCCTGATTCTGCCAAGCTAGGCAGCAAGTGGTCATTTAAAATGTCCACATACTGCTCAGCATTCATCTTCCCCTCAACCTCAGCAAGCATTCCTGCACCATTCCATCCCATACAGCCCCATACCATTAAAGAACCTCCTCCAAACTTGACAGTCCCATTAACCTCTCTGTCTGTTAGGCCATCTCCCTTCTTTTTCCATACATATACCTTCCCATCTAACCCAATCCTATTGATTTTGGTCTCATCTGACCATATAACATGCTTCCAGTCCTCTACAGTCCAGTGTTGATGAGCTAAGGCAAAGGCTAGTCTTCTCTGCCTATGTTTGATGGAGAGAAGAGGCTTTTTCTTCTTTGTTACTGCCTTGAGATGAGCTGCCTTGAGAACATTCCTCACAGTTTGTGAAGAGACAGGGGTAGTGATGGTGGAATTGATATAATGGGTGGCTTGGACAGCATTATCAACCTTTCCTGTAGTGATATGTTGGATAATAGCCCTTTTGTCAGTAGAGGTAAGCTTGGATGGATGTCTTCCACAAGAGTTTTCCTTGTCTGGGTGGCTTTCTTTGATAAAATTGGCCACAGTAGACTTGCATACTCCAGTTCTAGAGGAAATTTGGCAAGCAGAGAGGCCAGCATAAGACAGAGAGAGGATATTATCTCTTTGAGCAGAGATGGCTTTCATGGTGATTATGACTATGATACATGAGATATTCTGGTTTATATAGTTAGATATAGTCATAAAATAACATAATGACACCACTTCATAATTTATATAATAGTGGCATGATTTTTGTGGTGTCATAAATAATGATTTATATAGTTTTAATATACACTCAAAAAACTGTTCACATGAGTCATCATTTTATAAGCCTTATGTCTCCACCATATCTCCACCGATTCCCACGGTGTATGGCTCAAATGAAAGCCCTGAAGCCATACTACAATGTGGTATAAGCATGTTCTTGAGGCATTTGTTTGTTCTCACACAATATCATAGATACTGAAAAATGTCAAAACATGTGGACAGTTTTTTGAGCCACTGTAACTAGTTTAATGAGTTAGTTCAAGATATACATTTTACAGTGGTCAAGTCACAGAGGTACTTTTTGTCTATTTGTGCTACTTTCACTCATCCCAAACTGACAATGATCTTCTGTAGTTTGGCCCAGAAATGGTCAAAATATAGACCACCATTGAAGTGGAGTTGATCTCACAACAATGCATCATGTATATCAGTATACATCATGGTCACAAAGGCATTCTGTAGCTTTCTTTAATCAAAAATGTATTTACAAGAGGAAATCTTACTATGATATCATGAAGGCTGTACTCTTTTAGTTTCTCCTCCTTCTTCTCAGCAGTTTCCTTGGCCTATGCAGTCTTTAAGACTTCCTGCAACTGAGCAGACATTCAACAAGGATAACACTTCAATGTGTTCAAAAGTTCATCATGAGGAACAAGACAGACTGGACATGGCCAAAGGCATTTGATGCCTTGGATCAGCAACATAACACATCTTATATTGTTAAGTACATTATCCATTAGCGATTCAGATTAATATGGAAGTGTGACATTACTCACTGTTCCTCATAATCAGCCAATAAAATTAGGATGAAAGGAAAGAACCAGCATTGAACACTATCAAAACACTCAAACCATTGTCCTGTGTGAGATTTTGATGCTAGTGGAGAGAGGATCTTTGAGAATGACTTGTGCCAAACAGCATTCTTGAAGTTGACCCAGCTTGGCTTGCTGGCATAGTCTCTGTCTTCCTTCACCTGTCCCAGAGTATCAGTCCAAATGGTCAATATATGAATACTATGGCCATGTCATACAATTGGAAGCCATCCAACTATATAGCTGCCACCTATGCCTTGTCCATTACAAATGTCTGTGGGTAGATTTGCTAGATACGCCATGACAGGATATCCTCGTGTGGTACCAAATGAGGACAACTTAGTTTTGTCAGCATACAAAGGAAAGCTAAGGGCTTGCTGCCCAGTGGTAGCTGGGACTATGAGGCAAAATGAAGGCGATCAAAATCACCACAGATGATATTAATACATACTTGAACATTCCAAAAGGTGTTGGCAGTGAAAGGTTCATCTACAAAACATATGAAAGTCTTGCCATCAAACTTTGAGAAGTGTTGTGCATCAAAAACCATATGTGGGAACAGTCAAGGATCATGAAGGAGATTGGCTGCCCACTCCCAGAGATCCCAATAGTATAAATCAAATTGTCAAATTGAATCATTGTATGGTACAGAAATTATGTCCTGAGTAAACTAAAACTCAGGAGTTGTCAGACATTGAATGTCAGGAAGAACAAAAGAAAACCACCCCAGTGGTGCAATGGGAGACAGCATCCCACCTATTATGGATGTCTTTGTGGTTCTGGAATGTGAATTTTTCCTGCTAGGAAGTGTACCAGTTACAGAACTTGATAAGACAATCAGTCTGTTCATTATTTAGGCAGGCCTCTAGAGCAAGCTCAGCAATATCAAACTCCAGCCACAATCCGAATGGAGCTCAAGGGTGTTTGTCAGGGGGTGTAGAAGATGTCAATGGTGTTGGACAGCACTTGAAATCATTGGAAGCATGTACTTCTGGTGCCATCCCACTGCCAGGATGATATTCAGACTTAATGTTGTCAACCTTGAACATGGGATCTATGTGTTCAGGGATGTCAGCATCAAGAAATGAAGTAGGTTCTAGCAAAGTTTTAATGGTGAATATCACAAATATAACAAACAATAATCTGAGCTTACCATTGTGCTCCATGTTATCTAAATTGTTCCAAGTGTCAGGTGAGACATCACATTGTCCTGTTGCAACTTGAATGCAATTAGAAAACACATTATTAAAGGGCACTTACCTCTCTGTCCTGATACTGTATCAATATGATCTCCCCTCGTTTGCCACAGATTTGAGGGACCCACTATTATTAGTAGAATTTAGAGATGGTAAATAACAAGAAAATGTATGTACCTGTGTCTCTTTGAAGGGAATTCACAAAATGTTGATTTTGCCATTGTTTCTCAGCTTTCTTCTCACATGCCTTGTGGTGAGTGGTGTAACCACACAGTTTGATGTCTTGTTGAAATATTTTGACCTCTCAGGGCCCATTTTGTTGACAGGGATATGCAAGTTATGTACTGGTATTGTTATGGATGGAAAGAAGGGGGGAGAATACTCAAGAATGCTGTAAAAGAGGAATTCAAGCAAGTAAGACACATATCAATCACATCACACACATATTGCAAGCAATTGAAGCCCCACCATCAATCTTACAGCAAGGTTGTAAGTGCAATTGTAATGTGATGTAAACAGTTCCTGATTACAATCATTTTAGGAAATTTGTGACATAGTAGGGAGGGCTAACAGTAGTGGTACTCAAATCAAACTTTGAAACTTTTGAAAACTCACTTAAACACCACCTAAACACTTCAAACTCCTGGCTCAAGTTCTGAAAGAACTCGCTTAAGAACACTTAAATCATGCTCAGTACACATTAGCACAAAGTCAGACATTCAAACACTTAGGATTTTCAAAGTGTGCTGTAGGAGAAAGTCATACTTTAGAGAGGGTAGAAAAAGTAACCGTGATATAGATTTGTGACTAGTAGATGCTCCAACATATGTCATATTTTGAATGACAACATTAATAAAAAGAATGAAGTCCCCCTAAAATTGGCCATAGGTAGAGAACACTGGACAAAATGAAACAAGTGCTAAGGAAGGGGGGGGGAAGAGGGGGAGGAAAATGCCAAGTAGCTGGGGGAGGAGAAAGAGTATCAGGAAGATCTGCATGCTTCTGTGGAGGCACAAGACCAAGTGAAATGTGGACTCTTTTGCCAGCATTCCTTCTCCAGTTCAACACCCATCATTTGCACAGTGACAATGCCAATGCTCAGGCTTGGCAAATTGTCTACCAGTGCAGTAGGATGATCAGAAGATGATTTGGCGCTCATCTGCAATTTGCTCTTGGCTCTCAAGTGCACAAGATCACCAAGAGCCTCGAGCCAGCCGGATCGGAACAAACATAGAGTCGGCTCCTCATTAGAGTAGGTGTAGAAGATTGGGGGAATGACAAGGTGGGAGGATGAGTGGCTTGCCAGTAAAGATAAGGTCAGGTGGGATATGTGTAGAACCTGGATTATAATAGATTTCCTGTAAGATAAGGTAAATGTTAGCTGAAAGTTGTGAGAGGGACAACAATTACTTACCTTGAGTGAATAACACCTGGAAAACTAATGATATGGGTAAGCATTAAGGTTCAAGGGTGAGGTTGAGGGTGAAGTCAATGACGACACCAACATGCTCAGCGTGAGACGAAACTTCAGAATTTGCTGAAATTTAAAACTCCACTACATACTGTGTCACATATGTATACACCAAATGATAGGGGTTTTGATCCCCTCCACTCTCACCCCACTATGCCTTGCAAATCTGCATGCAAAGACCTCCTCAATGCTGTTAACAAGGCTGCCCTTGCCCTAGCCAAGTTACAACTCCAGAATGAACTCCTAGATGATTTATCAGACTTTGACACAGACTCCGACACTGACACAGACTCTGACTCCAACTTTAACTCTAACTCTAACTCTGACACTGACTCTACCAATATGTCTTTCAGCTCTCTGACCCCACCATCCTTAATGTCTTCTATCTCTGGTCTTTCTGGCACTTCTGATTCTTCCAGTGATGATGAAGATGAGATTGCCATTCATTATGATAGGCTCCAACACACTATTGCTGCTTTGCATGATGAGGTTGAGAGGGCACATGTAATCCACAAACCTGATGAACCTCCACCACGAGCTCCTCAGCTTCATATGCTAGTTCACCATGAGAAACACCACCCCAAGTTGTTTCAGCAGAAACTTCATGTCAACCCAGAGATCTTTGATCATATCCTTGATCATATCTCTGATCACCCTATCTTTCAGAACAACTCCAATAATCCTCAGCTCCCTGTCTCCATCCAGCTTGCCATCTTTCTCAATCGTGCTGGCCATTATGGCAATGCCATTACTCTTGAGGATGTTGCTCAATGGGCAGGTGCAAGTGCCAGGTCCGTAGCCAATTGCACTAATCACGCAATGGTTGCACTGCTCAAAGCACATGATCAGTTTATCTCCTTCCCAGAAGATAATTCTGAGGACACCCACCTTGCCCAGAAATATGCTGAGGTAAAGACTTGTCCAGAGTGGAGGGGTGGTTATCTAGCTGTTAATGGTTCAACCATTGAACTTTTCACCAAACCTGGTTATTATGGGGAGGCTTTTTTTGACAGGAAATCCAACTATTCCCTTGGTTGTCAAGTAATGTGTTCTTCTTTCTTATTTTTTTTCCAGATAAATTGATTTAATTCTAGGCAGTTATTATGCCCCACAATCTCTTGATTGTTGATTATTCTCTTGGACATCCTGGGAGTGTCCATGATGCATTTGCCTTTTGATCCACTCACCTCTATGAAGAGCATGAAAATCTTCTTCCTGATGGTCACTGGGTTTGGGCAGATAGTGCATATCCATTGGAGCCATGGTGTATTGCTCCATTCAAGAAACCATGCAATGGTCAGTTGACAAAAGACCAGAAGACATTCAATTATCACCTATCTAAGGTTTTTTTTAATTCCAATTTTTTCAATAAATTTAAATTTATTTAGATCCATGTACATGTTGAACATGCATTTGCTGCTTTGAAGGGGCAGTTCCAATCTCTCCAAGAGCTCCAGTTCAAGATTCAGAAAGAGAAGGACTTGAATTTTGCTGTGCAATGGATCAAGTGTTGTATCATCCTCCACAACATGATCATTCACTTCAAAACTCGTCATCACAAGCAGGATGGAACATACGAGAGTACTTTGAAATGGGCTTGTGAAGAGGGTCAAGATTTCATTCCTCAAGATGTTGAGGGTCCAGATGGTAATAATGTAGTGGGTGACAGGTCTTATGAAGGAACTCCAGGACAGACTACTCATTCAAAGCTGATGGATCAGCTCTTTGACAGTCCTTATTCCAAGGCACAGCACAGGGAAGGGTGAACCATGCTCATATTGACCAAGAAGATGACTACTACCAGTAGTATACTTGTACAAGTAAGATGTATGCAAACATATGTATGATGAAGACAAATAAGTATCAAAATCACAACAGGACAGCAACAGAAAGCAATGTGCACATCAATGAAATAATGAGACAATGAAGAGATGATGATGACAATGACAATGACAATGACAATGACAATGATGATGATGACAACAACAACAACAACAACAACAACAACAACAACAACAACAACAACAACAACAACAACAACAACAACAACAACAACAACAACAACAACAACAACAACAACAACAACAACAACAACAACAACAACAACAACAACAACAACAACAACAACAACCACAACATGATGACAACCACAACACGACAACACAATGACAACACAATGACAATGACAGCAACATGGGACTCAGGTACTTCCACTGCCACCACCCTGCATCAGTTGATGATACTGAATCCGCAAATGCAGATTCTCTGCCTCCTTGTTGAGAACTGTTGAATGTGCCTCATGCACTTGAATGTCAACTTCACAAAGGTGAGTTTCAGCAGCCCTATTCTCCTGCTCTCACTGATGGCTCAGAATGGCCTGAGATGCCTTGTGTGCACACATATCATGAAGCCAGTTATATTTTTTAGTGTCCCAGTTGTTTTCGCTCTTCGCTTCCAGCTTGGCAAGAAATCATTGATGCTTTGAGTCGCAGATGGACATGACATTGGACTGGATGCTACCAATTTCCCCTGCCAGATTATCTACTTGATCCTGTACATCCGATTTTGCTTTCTTTTTCTTCATCCTGCCATTTGGTTGCGCCAATAACAACATCTGTGGGGTTGACAATGACGAAACTGTGTTGTGAGCTGTGGATGAAGGGGTTGACATACTGTGTGACATCAATGGAGGTTTGTGTTGCCCCCTGTAGCTGCCAGCCTGGTGGGCGAATGCTGAATGATTGTTGTAGGTGGCAGTAGGTACCTTTACAGGCATATAGAAGGGTTCTGGGTCAGGAGGGGGAGAGGGTGAGGGCGATACAAAAATCCACTGTTTTTTTCTTACAACTTTTGGAGGGGTATCGAGGACCTCTATGTCATCCCACATTCCCTCATCATCATCCTGCATTCCTTCATCATCCTGCATTCCCTCATCTTCCTGCATTCCCTCGTTGTCCTGCAGGTGGTCCAGTGGGGGTGAAGTATCAGCTTGGTCCATTGGAAAATTGTCATCAGTGTGAGGGAGTCCACACAGGTGGACCTGAGGAGGGTGACCAGGAAGAGTAGGGTCAGGAGTATCATCAGCAAATGTGGATGAATGTCAGAGAAGACACAGGTCAATTGGAGGATCGTTATGATGGGCAGGAGCAGTGGGAATAACAGGGGGATTATTATGATG